ATAGAGTTAGAGTAAAAATATTGAAATCAGCGCCATCTTCAGAGTGCCGCAAATGAAACTCATAAAGGAAGGATAGAAAATGGTGAGAAAAGGATGGATATAGAATAAGAATTTATTATCAGCGCCATCTCTCGGATATTAAGAAAATTCTCTTAAGATTGAAAAAGTAAAATAAGAATTGAAGATTAACGCCATCTCTTAAATATTATCAGAAACATATGTTTAAAAATGTCAAGAGATGGCGCTTGCCTTTCTATTTCATCTTATTTTATTTTAATAAAATAAGAAGAGATCCAAAAGATGGTGCTCGTGATCAATTCTTATTTTATCTTCACCTTTCTCACACCGTTTCCTTTCCCTGTCTATATTTATTCGTGATGCGTAACCACACTACGAGCCAAACACGAAAAATATAAATTAAAACATAAATATAAATTAATAATAAAATAATAAATTAATAATAAAATAATAAACAGAAATATAAATTAAAAAACATATCTTTCGTCATTTCTCCTTCCAAATCATAATCTATCTTAATTTTTAATATAAAAACTGATCATTACATAAATACTTATAATATTATAGAATAGAAAAATAAAAGTAAAATTTAAAAAAAATTCTGAATAACACAAAATTAATGTTAATAACTATTATCTTCTGGTTCAATAAATCAATTGTTACAAACTATTAATCGTTATTATTAATTATAAATCAAATATTGTAAAAATTTATGTTTTAATTATATTATAATAAAATTAATATTCTTAACTTAGTATTTAATATCAAAATATATCTCATCAAATAATCTTCGTAATTCTTGTTTCGTTAAATAATCCCATTTGTGATAGGCTTCATCTTCGGTAGGAATCAGATCTTTTATCATATATAAATATTTTTCAAATGGACAAACATCATCTTGTCCCGGAAGATTACAAGTTACTAATTTTTGTGTATCCCAGTATAAGAACTAAAAAGTATATTATTGTTTTTCTATTAATAAATATTATTGTGTTATAAACGAAGTGATTTTTTTTTTTCATTGATAGGTTATTAAAAAAAATTACCCTGACATAATGTTTACCATCCTTATTCCTTAATTTTTCAAATATCATTGCACATCCATACGGTGGTAACTGAGGTTCGGATAAATTTAATGCTTTGACAAGAGCAGCGATATTTACTTCGTGCCCACTATATAAATAGATTTTTCTTGGATTTCGGCGCGCTGCGTTTATAATAATATTTTCAATAAATCTTTTGATAATCGTGCCACCGTTCAATCGTTTTTGAAGAAGTGTATACGAACGAATTTCGTATTCAATTTTCACAATATCTTGAAGTTTTATAAAAATTTCCTCGCTATACCATTCTGGCAAAGGAAGTTTCGAAGCTTTCTACGATATTATTTCGATACGATAATTATAATTATTTAATATATATTTTATTTGATATATAAATGTTGAGTTTTTTATACCTGTGCTACAAGTTGGTTGTACGTTTCATACAATTCATGTGATGTTTTCACGTTAGCACCAGTGTTTTCACTAATGTATTTGAATAAGTATCCATAGGGCTTTAATTTTTCAATAAATTTTTGTTCTTTTCTCACTTCGTTCAAAAGTTTTAAATATCTGTAAATCAATTGCACTATATATGTATATATATATATATATATAAGTCAATTTCTTGCATATTTCTTTTTATATATATATATTTTTCATCTTCTCTATTTTAAAACGATTTTATTCTATTATTTTATATATCTTGTATTGAACACTTACAATGGAGAAGAATCAGGTTTTAATAAATGATCAACTCTGGATGGCATACAGTATGTTGGTATTGGGAGCCATGGCAAATTTTGATTCCACATTTGAAACGGATTCGGACGAAAAAGACCAGCTAATACTAATTGAAGAGACGTTTTCGTTCGATCGTGATCCGTACTATAGGCATATACATCAGAAGGATAATAATGATTTCCTAAGAATGTATTATAACGTTCTCTCAACATGCTTCCAATTCGAAATTCTGTCATTTTCCCTTCCTGAAAACAAATTATAGTGATTCATCTATGTTTTTCTTTTTGATAGCATAGTTATATTGCAATAATTTATGTTGTTTAATTTATATCGTTATATTACGTTTGTTAACTGAGCAAGTCCCCATGGTTCATACATTGCATAATTAGTAAAATTTGGCGGTAATTCAGTTCTACGTGGTGTTCGTTCTCCATGTCTGAATATCTGATAAAATTGTGAATGATCGAATTTTGATATGGAATATATTTTATTTTTATATTGTTGATATTTTATTATTAAATTATTATTATTCATACTCTACATTTTTTTAATAATAATAATTTAATTTATTATTATAATAAATTAAATACAAAATAAAAGATAAAGATAAATTTTAAAATATCATTTGACAAATATATATAAATAAATAAATATACTGATAAATATATTGAATAAAAAATAATACTCACACATTGTACCAAATCTACATTGAATTCCTTTCTTGTCATTTGAAAGAAATTTCCTAGAAAAAGAATTATTATAAGAAATAATTTTATACAAGATATATTAAAAAAAAAAACGATATTTAAAATATATATTTTCTAGAATAATTATTCTTAAATCGTTAGATTCTTTATATGAGATAATTCGAACAACATAAGATTGGATATATATATTTTTATAACTTATCATTTCAGTTTTTTCATACATATAAAGTAGTATTGTTCATAGAACACTTTGATTTTAGAAATCAAGTCAAACATAAAAGTTGATATATAAAAATTGATTAAGACTTAAGGTATAAGTAATTTAAGTTTGCATTAAATAAAGACAACGTGATGTTATGACGGTATGATTATTTATTTATTTTTACGTATCAATTCATTTTCTATATTTGTTCTAACCTCTAAAATTGTATCTCTAAAAAGATTTTACAAATATAAATATTAACTTCTATATTAATATTTTGTATGTAATTGACAAACGAAATTTATTTAATTGATAAAATATCAATGAAAAAATCAAATTATAAATATTTTTAAATTGAAAAAGAATATTTCATAAAAGATGTGTACATATTATATTATCTTCATAATAGTTAAATTTAAAATGTAAATATACATTTAGTGATAAAAGAATTTATAAAATAATAAATTTTGTTTTTGCTATTGAAATAATTGGATTTATTAAAAAAGTAATATATATAATATAGATAAATGTTGTATAAACAAATTTCGAAATTTGGCATAGATAAATTTTTATTTATTTAACCTATCATTATATAATAAAATATTATTATTATTATTATATTATTATTAATCACGAAAATTTTTAAATAAATTGATGAAATTATTGTATATAAATTTGTTTTTAAAAATAAAATTTAATAATATTTCGCATTATTATCTATTTATAAAAACAAAAAAATATAAATGTAAATAATAAAATTATGAAATGTAGTTTTGTTTATCAGAATTATTTCTGATTATAATGCTTTTATAAAAATAAATATCATAATGAAAATTATGATTTATTTTATATTATTATATTGAAATATATTGAAAATACATTTACATTTTTTTGTAATGTATCGATTTTTAAACGATGTGTCTAAAAATATATACATATACGTATATTATTATTTACTATTAAAAATAATGAAATTAAAATCTCATAAGTATCATATATTAAAATATATATCTATATAATATTTAACATTGATTTTTTTTTTATAATTAAGAATATTAATGATATAATATATCAAATAATTTTTTCTTATTTTCTTATTTCTTATTTAAATTTTATCGTTATTTTATTTTTTAAAAATGATAATTAGATATTATTGTAAAATAATATAAATATTTATTGTTAATATATTAACAATTCTTTCTTAATTATAAATTAATTATAATAAATTTTTATAATTCTATATTTTTTATAATATATTTATGGAATTAAAAATAAATTACTACGTATAGATATGTAATATAGATATATAATAGATATAAACATAATATAATATAATAGACATAATGTAAAATATTCTAATATTTATTTTCGCGCACTTTATTAGAATTCAATTGAAAAATTGTCATAGAGCTGCCATCTATCAGTAGCATCTAGAGTGTAATATTAGGTGAAATTTGAATAATGCGTGTAATTTTCCTTGAATAAAAAAATAAAGTGTTTAAATAATTTTTGTAATTAAAATAAATGTGCATATAGTATAAAAAAATATTTTTTTTATTATAAACTATCAAATATAATGCAAATGCAATACAATTCTACTACAAAAATGAAAACTTGAAGTTGGCGATTAAGAATTTTTTATATCTATATATATATATCTCACTTTTTTCAATTTCTTTCAATTTTACAATTTAAATTACTTAAGATTTTTTTTTAAATTAATCTTAAACTTATTTTAAATAAATATACTATTTTTAAAATTAAAATTTCTATTCAAAATTTCTGTAAAATTTAAATATATGTTTTCATATATATATAATTATATGAAATGTAAAAAATGGAAACTAAATTTCTGAACTTTAAAGTATAAAGATATTCCATATTTATATAAGATTCTACTTCAATACAATTATATAATTTGTAACAATAATTCTAAAATAATATTGTAAGATAATATTTTTCATAATCAAAAATATTTTAAATATTTTAAACAAAAATTTCATTATATATTATATACATTTAATTTGTATATACATATTTTTATATTACACTATTATTAAATAATTTTTTATTATTTTTCTATTAAAATTTATAAATAATTTTATCTAATATATCTTAAATAAAATTCATATACTTTTAAAATAAAGAATACAATTTTATTTCTTAGTTTTTAAAAACATATAAGTTTATGTTTGTCATAAACAAATATTTTTGTTAAAAATATGCAAATTTGCATAAAAATATGTTTATATTAAATTTTGTACTTACGCTTCTTTGTATAGCATATTGCAGCGATTAAAAGTGTCCATTGATTTTCTTTATACGTATTCAACGACATAAATTACGATTTAGAGATCACGAACTAATATAAATATTAAGTTGACTTCTTTTTTATGAAACGCGATTGACGAAAAAGAAAATTAATTCAACTAATTTCATTGAAAATTTCTTTCATAATTTTCGACCGCCAATTCAGTATTACAATTTTCTAACCTATACCGTATTATATACTAGTCGGACACAATCATTGAAGATTCATTTTTTCTTCGTAATGCGACGATAAAATATGTTTTTATATATAATATTTATAAAGTCAAGAAAAAATGTGTATTGTTTTATATAACACAATTGTATTAATTTGCATATAGGAATGTAATTTATAAATAAGAAACATGAGATTGTGAAAATATTTTTCTTGTGTTATTGTGTATATAAGATAATTATAAATTCATAAAATATGTCTGCTAAAAGAAAACCAGAAACACAAGTGCCAGCTGAAGAAAGTGATTTATTATCAATTAGACCACTTGGAGCTGGCCAAGAAGTAGGAAGATCGTGTATCATGTTAGAATTCAAAGGCAAGAAAATTATGTTAGATTGTGGTATTCATCCTGGTTTATCTGGTATGGATGCATTACCATTTGTGGACTTAGTAGAAGCAGATGAAATTGATTTATTATTAATTTCACATTTTCATTTGGATCATTGTGGAGCTTTACCATGGTTTCTACAAAAAACTAGTTTTAAAGGACGATGTTTTATGACTCATGCTACTAAAGCTATTTATCGTTGGCTCTTATCTGATTATATTAAAGTAAGCAACATTGCAACAGAACAAATGTTATATACTGAATCTGATTTAGAAACTAGTATGGATAAAATAGAAACTATTAATTTTCATGAAGAAAAGGATGTATTTGGAATAAAATTTTGGGCCTATAATGCTGGTCATGTATTAGGTGCTGCTATGTTCATGATAGAAATAGCAGGTGTTAAAATTTTATATACTGGAGATTTTAGTCGACAAGAAGATAGACATTTAATGGCAGCTGAAATTCCAAATATTCATCCAGATGTTTTAATTACTGAATCTACTTATGGTACACATATACATGAAAAAAGAGAAGATCGTGAAGGAAGATTTACAAATTTAGTTCATGAAATTGTTAATAGAGGTGGAAGATGTTTGATACCAGTATTTGCATTAGGTAGAGCACAAGAACTTCTTCTTATTTTAGATGAATATTGGAGTCAACATCCTGAACTTCATGAAATTCCTATATATTATGCCTCTTCTTTAGCAAAAAAGTGTATGGCTGTTTATCAAACTTATGTAAATGCAATGAATGATAAAATTAGAAGGCAAATAGCTATCAATAATCCTTTTGTATTCAAACATATTTCAAATTTAAAAGGAATTGATCATTTTGAAGATATTGGACCATGTGTAGTAATGGCTTCTCCTGGTATGATGCAAAGTGGACTATCAAGAGAATTATTTGAATCTTGGTGTACAGATGCAAAGAATGGAGTTATAATTGCTGGTTATTGTGTGGAAGGAACATTAGCAAAAACTATTTTGTCAGAACCCGAAGAAATTACAACTATGTCTGGACAAAAGTTACCATTAAAAATGTCTGTTGACTATATATCATTTTCAGCACATACAGATTATCAACAAACTTCAGAATTTATACGTAGTTTAAAACCACCACATGTTGTGCTTGTACATGGAGAACAAAATGAAATGGGTAGATTAAAAGCAGCATTACAAAGAGAATATGAAGATGATCCAAATACAACAATGGAGATACATAATCCTAGAAATACTGTTGCTGTAGAATTATATTTCAGAGGAGAAAAAACTGCCAAAGTAATGGGCACATTAGCAATGGAAACACCTAAACCAGGACAAACATTATCTGGAGTTCTTGTTAAAAGAAATTTCAATTATCATATGCTTGCACCTTGTGATTTATCAAAATATACAGATATGAGTATGAGTCAAGTTATTCAAAGACAAAGTGTATATTTTTCAGCATCATTACTAGTATTAAAACATTTGTTAACCCAAATTGCTGGAAATTTAGAAGTTGTAGATGATAAAAAATTACGTGTTTTTAAGAATATTGATGTTACAATTGATGGAAAAATTGTTACAATGGAATGGGTTGCAACACCTGTAAATGATATGTATGCAGATTCCGTTTTGACTGCAATATTACAAGCTGAAATGATGGAACAACCACTCAAAGTATTACCTGCACCTACAAAAATGGATCGAATGCATTTTAAAGAATGTTTGATAGAGATGTTACAAGAAATGTTTGGTGAAGATTCTGTTCCTAAAATTTTTAAAGGAGAAAAATTATATGTAACAGTTGATGGGAAAAAAGCACATATAGATTTATTAAATTTAGAAGTAACTAGTAAAGAAGATGAAACTTTTCAACAAATAGTACAAACAGCAGTAACAAAATTGCATCAATCACTTGCACCTCCCTGTGATACAATTTAAAAAATATTTCTTTAATAAATTACATATTGAATATGATACTTATAAAATTATTAATAAGTATATTATTAGAAAATATTGAAAAACAAAGACTTTTATTTATTGTACAATTCAATGGTATTGTATAATACAAACATTTGTTCATTTTTATAATAATAATAATATTAATAAGTAAATATAAAAATATAAAAATTAAATTACTATTTAGATATTTTTTTATATAATATCCTTAAACTTTGTACTATATAGATTAATATTTTTTATATTATCAAAATAGTAAAAATTGTTTGAAAAAGTATATTCAGTAAAAGTATATCATAAATATTTTATTATTATAAGCATTTTTTTATATTTAAGTCTTGTATGTAAGATAATTTCTACTTGATCTCTTCAGATATACAATCATTAAATATAAATAAATATCGTTTAAATATATAATTCATCATGTTATAATAATATGATAAAAAAATAATATAAATATGTACAATTCATCCTATTAATATGTACCAAAGCATATCATACAGATTAAAAATCATTTTATATAATAAAAATTTAAAATGTGATTGATTAAATTCATGCATAAAAAATGCAAATATAAAAGAAAAATTAAGCATGTAAATGTTTTTTATATAGAAATACTCAATAAATCAAGAAATAATATATTCGGAAAGATTTCCCCATGCTGGTCCAACTTTTAATTTTACAGGTAATGGTACTGTAAGTTGACATACTTGCTCCATTGATTCTTTTACTATTGTTGCAACTTGTCGTAAATCGTATATATTTGCCTAAAGTAAAAAAGTATGAAAAAGAATTTTTTATTATTTTTATGAAAATATAATTCTTTAAATTAAATACTTACTTCATATAAAAGTTCATCATGAAGCTGTAATACTAAATAGCCACCTTTGTGTTGTGTTTCTTTACTATTACTTCTTAATTTGCGAGTAGAATTAATAGGCATAATAGGTGGAGAAGTTGAGAATTCAAATCGCATTCTTTTTTCAATATCAACCATTGCTTTTTTAACAATATCAGCTGCAGAACCTTGAACTTTAGTATTCACTGCTTGACGTTCCGTTTGTGCTATAAAATAAAAATAATCATAATGGTTTATTCATAATTAATTAAAAATTTTGTTTTAGAAACGAAATTATATTAATAAAAAATTACATTTTTCCATTGGATTTATACTAGTTAATCCAGGAAACATTCTACGTCTTTCCAAAATAGTTGTAATGTAACCATTTATACGTGCTTCTTCCAATACATTATTCAACCATTTAGATATACCTGGATATGCATTCATAAAAGATTCCAAAAATTCTTTGGCTTTAACTTCATCTACCGACAAATTTTCAGCAAGTGTTTTTACTCCCATACCATAAATCATTCCATAGCATAATTGCTTTGTATGTTGTCGCATTTTATCATCAACCTATTAATTGATTAATATTAATTATGAAATGTATTACAATTATATTACAATTATATAATGAATATACCATTTTCTAATTTATATGAATACCTCATTTTCGGATACATGATTCCATTTTGCTGCAATATTCTTAAAGATATCACCTGGTTTTCGCATAATATTGCATAATGTTGTATCTTTTGAAAAGTGAGCTAATATTCTTAATTCAAGTTGACAATAATCCGCTGACAACATAATATTGCCTATTGCTGGTATAAATGCCATTCGAACACTTATTGTAAAACTATTGTCTTCAGAATTAAAATCTCTTGGTACATTTTGTAAGTTTGGTTCATACATCGATATTCTACCCGTTAATGTGGATGTAACACAATTACCATGAATACGAGAACTATGTTGAGCCAGATTTAGTAAAGGATAAATGATCTAAAAATTTTATCAAATGGAAAAATCATTTAAGAGATATAAATTAAAAAAAAAATTTCTTTTTTATTTTATACATACTTTAGATTTAGTTACATTTAATTTACGCCATGACATAACAAGATTAGATATTGGATGATCAGATTGTCCTAGCACTGCTTTATTAACACTAATTTTCTTTCCTTTGTATAAACCTAAAATCTAAATGATAGAAATTTAATGATTAAGTTTTCAATTTTATTGATAATTAATTTCATTATTATATTTATAAACCTCTCCAACTTCTTTAGATGAAGAAAAATTAAATTTTTTTCCACATAATGCATACGCTCGTTCTTCTAATAATATCATTTCTTCGCGAATAACAGAAGATAAATCTTGTAATGATTTTAAACATACACCTAAGCCAGTTAATTCCATATATGCTAATAAAATAATGGTTTTCATTTCGATATCTAAAAATATATTTAAATTTCTTTCAAAATATAAGAAAAAATAATAAATGAATATTATATATGTATTCGTAATATTTATTACCTTTAAATGTATATAATAATGTTGGACTTAATTGTTCTAATTTATCTATAAGTTTATCAGTTATGTGCCATGTAAGTACAGCTTCTGCACATGCTCTAAGTTCTCCTGGTATTGCACTTTTGATGCATAATCCAGGTCCTGTATCATAACATGTACCCATTTTTTTAATTATGAAGCATCCTTGTGGAAAATATTCTTTTACCTATTTATGCAATAATTTAAATATATAGTTAATTATAATATAATAAATAAATTTAATATAATAAATAATTTAAATAATAATAAAAATATATATATATATACCATGTCATTAAAAGTTTTTTCATAAATGTTACCATCATACAACCAATTTGCTACTTTTGGATCTAAAAATTTACAACTTGCAATAATACCACAACATTCATATAAAGTTTTAAATGTTTCTTTAGTTGCAAAACATTTTACATATAAAACTGTATTAGCAAGCAATTCTTTAAATAACTTCATTTGCTCTTTGCCTGAGATTTTTAAATCTGAAAATTTATTTTTTTTTAAATTTAGCAAATTTAGCAAAAATTAAAAATTAGCAAAAAATAACAAAAAATTAATATTAATGTAATATTAAATAAAAAAAATGTATTATTAAATAAAATTAATATTAATGTAATATTAAATACCTTGTTCATTGGAGAAAGAAATATAATATGCAATATTGCTTTCCCAAGCAATAGCTGCACCATATAGTTTTTTATCTCCATATGTATAATTTTCCACTTTTTTAGATTTTTTTTTACCTTCACTAGAAGAACCAATGATTTTGGCACCTATATTGTTAGTTTCATCATTATATAATTCACAATTTAATGCCAAAGCAATATATCGTTTTTGCATTACTTCACGTTTAAATAAATTAAATGTTCCTCTATCACTTCCAATTTTTATAATATTCAATGTATTCCAATTAATCATTTCATTTGAGATATCTACAAGTTCATTCGCTTGTATACACATCTTAGAATTATTTTGAGTTCTTTTTAAATTAATTTTAGGTTTTTTTAAAATTTTTGATGATTTTATAGATGTGTCTTCATCTGAATTCGAAATTATGCTATCAATACTACAATTTTTACTAGATAAAATATTTTTTGCATAAATTTCTTTTAATTTCGGTTTGATTTTACATTCTCTAATTTCAGTTTTATTTGACACAGTAATTGCATTGTTTTTATCATCAGATATCTGATCGGAAATTTTTTGAGTATATATTTTTCGTTTTCTTTCAGAATCTAATTTAATACGTATTTTGTTATTTGTAGCAGGTGAATTTGTATTTTGAGAAGCAACAATAATATCATCTGAATCTGATTTATTTGATGATGATGCGTGATTTTTATTAAAAACAATATTTGCTAAAGGTGATCTTGCAATTGATTCATTCTTGAATTTGGATTTTTGCGATATTTTTTTTAGATCAGGTATATTCATGGTTTTCTCAAATTTCAAATCAGATTTTTTTTTCATCTCAGGCGTCAAATCATTTATTCCATTAGATCCTATAATATGTTGTATATTTGTATTTTTTACATTTCTGATACTACATTTAATTAATACATCTTCGTTATTTTTATCTTTGATTTCATGTAATTTCTCTATTATTTTTTTTGATTCATTCCAAGAATCATCTTTCCATGAAATCATATTATGTTTTATTTGTGAATTTATAGAATTTAAAGAATTTAAAGAATTTTGATTTATATTTTTATTTTTTATATCATTTTCTATATCTATTTCATTGTTAACATTATAAGTAATGGCTTTATTCTCTATTACTTTCTGTTCAGATAATTTAGTATCTTCAAACTCTGAGAAATGTAGAGAATCAATGATATTTTGTTCAAGAGCATTGCAAATTTGTGTATCGAGATTTAAACTATCATCAAATAAACTAGGACTTCTTGAAATCTCTGCTTTTATATCATTCTCAATAGATAAACATGTTGCTTCATTTTTACAAATGGATACTAATTTATCATTTTTTTCATCCGAAATTCTTATTTTCTTGATTGATATAGTATTTATATTTTGATTATTCTGATCATCATTAATTGAGTATTTAATAGAAGAACTTTTTGTATGATTTCTTTTTTTACTATTGAAAGCAATTAATGATTCACTATTTTTTCTCTCTAAACAACTAAGAATTACTTTAGAACTATTTTTTAAAAAATCAGTCGATAATTTTTCAATTGGAGATTCAAAAAATTCTGGAATATTTATTTGCGATAATTGATCAATAACATCATCACATTTTCTTTTTTGTTCTGTACTATTTTCCAAGATACATTTAGAATTTTCAATATTTTCTATAACACTCATATCTATTTTGGATTTTTCATTTTTATTATATTTATGATTTAATGTAATTTTTTTAATATTATTAATAGAATTCACATTCTTGTTCACAGTTTGATTAATTAAAGATATATTTTTTTCACATTCATCTTGAATTTTTTCATTTGAATTAGTTTTGTTTTGAGGATTATTCGGCATAGTTTCAATATTTATTTGTACATCAATATTTTTTAGCATATCTTGTTGTGTGCATAAGTTCACTTCAGTATTAGATTCGTTTGTAACAATAGATCGTTCATTTTGCTTCCATGACATATCTTGCAATCTCAATTCATTCTATAATTAAAATAAAAAATTGTTCAATTTTAAAATCATTCAAAGAAATTTAATTTTAACATTATAACTATTATCTACCTGTACCAATATTCTAGCTTCATGAACCAACATGATTGCAGCTTCGTGAGGTGTTAAACCATCTTTTCCAGTAACAAACACTGTTCTCATTTTATTTCGTTTTATTGCTTCTGATTCATGTTCACCATCATGTTCTTTCTCACTAAAATATAATTTTAACATTGTATATGTTCTTATTAAAATTTATTTTGTTATTGCAAATCAATGAAATATTTTAATTATGCACCTTTCAAAAGGAAGTGCTTTATAAAGTGCTCGTTCAACATCCAGTTCATTAGCAATAGCTAAATCTGCTACAGATGTTATTCCATGCTTATAAAGACTTCTAGCACGTAGTCCATTTAACATTGGAAGTCTTAATAAATCTAATAATTCTCTACAAACACCAAACTGCAATC